AAAAATTGTATGCTAAAAAATTTATAAGATTGACTGCTAAGAGTTTAACAATCACTATATATATTAATTTAACAATGAGTAATGTTACAATTAACGATAAAAATACACCGAATTCATGTACCGATATATATGGCATCATCTTTTTTTCTTAAAAAAAAATTCATAATTAATGGATGTTTAAGATGGTGTCACGTCTATTAGTACATAAATTCTATTTTTTTCGATAACTGTATCATTTTTCTTTGACAATAATACTATAGTTTGAAATTTTGGACCAAAAGATTCAAAATTGTGAATCTTAATTAATATAATAACAGAGTTGGTGAAATTATAACTTACCAAATGAATGCTATGCTAATACGACATTGATAGGAGTGTGGGACCCTAATTACTAGTCAATGAATCATATGCAAAGACTAAAGGATTCTTATAGACGGCATGGAATTATCTAAAATCAAGTCGTTGGAATTATTATTGGGTCAATATCATTTCTGGTATTAGGCCTCAACTTGGATTTTGGGTATGACTGACTATACGTTGAAGGCATTGAGATAAGATTCATTTTGGTCATTTGGAATTATTTAGTGGTCTTACTTTATTATGTTTATTTATCTTATCTATAATTTTGGTTGGGGTTTATTTCAATTTTCTTTTTTTAGTATTAAACTTATCCACTTTTTAAAAAAATATTAAAAACCTCCCTGTAATTATCAAAACTCTCCCTAAATAAATATCATAAACCCTCTTTAAAATAGGGTTATTATCAACCAGATGATATTTTTATTAAAAAAACTTATATTAAAGGACACAAATATTAGAATAGACAATGAGAAGACAATTAACCGGGGTAAAAGCATTAACTTTGTTTGAAATATTTATGTGTTAGTGATTTTTTTTTTAAATAAACAATTATAAATGAAATTAAAAAAAAAAAGTCATATATATAATTATACAAATTAAAAAATAAAGCAATATATAGTTAAAAAAAAAATTAAAACTAAAAAATAAAGTATAGTCTTAAAAAATCATTTCCTTACTTTTTTGCAATTTTTTTCTATTTTCTTTCCACAGATATGTTCTCATTTATTTTTATTTTGACTTGTGTCATTTTTTTTTAACTTATTGTTGTGTAAAAAAAATTATTTTATATGAAGCTATTTACACATAAAATTATCTTAATACCTTTGATAAAGTTAAAGTTAATGGCTTTAAACCGTTAAATGTCTTATTATTGTCTTTTCTAATATAAGTGTCTTGTAGCTATAAATTTTTGATAAAAGAGTCTTCTGACTGATTCAATTCGTTCAAGAAATGTCCCTATAATTATCAAAACCCTCCCTTAAAAATAGCAAACACCTCTTACAAAATTATTTAAAACTTTTTAAACAAAGTGGATGAGCTAATAGCCTAATACTAATCGATTTCATGGGAAGAAAAAAAAAAAAAATCCTTTGGGCTTTTATAGTACTAGAGTGAACTGGATTTACGGCCTTAAACCGTGGAGAAGGTTCTTTCCATATTGGCTTAGGGTACAAGATTATGGGCCAGGCCCAACCATTAGTCCAACCCATAATTCGAACTGTGGAAACCGCTTAATTTGCTGGTAAGAAATATTGATTAGATCCCATCTATTCACTCATTAACTAACCATATACTAAATGATAAATTTTTTAATAAAAATAAAACCATTTCATCTCCACTTTAACCTCTGCCCACTCTCTTTTTCATGACCACCAGGGACGGACTCAGGATTTAATGTGAGAGAGGGCAAGTTCAAAATTAATAACATAATTTTTATTATAAAAAAAATTTAGAACGGCAAGAAATATCCTATTTCATTTTTTTTTTTAGTTTTAACTCTTTATTTGATTTCTAATTGATAAAAAAAATATTTGATTAATAAAGTACTTATTGTCTTAAATAAACAAAACCTCATTTGTTTAATAAATTTTAGATGGATGGGTCAATTTGTAAAGTAAATTATATCAAATCAGAAAAAATAAAATAAAACAATTATAAACTATAAACTATAATAAAAAAAAATTGAGTGGGATCATCAGTTCCCACGCGTAATCACATGGGTCCGTCCTTAATGACCACTGTCATTGTAGTAAGATGATTCATGCCTATTGATCTTGGGTCTATAATTATAAATATTGAAGTTTAATGTGTTTTATTCAAAGATTTAAATAAACAAACAAAATATATACTCAATAGTAAAAAGAGCTAAGTTGATTCAAAATGTACTTGCATATGATTCATGTAACTAGTTAGTGACCCATCCTTGGGTACCTCTAGTGATAAGACGAGCACTGAGATGTATGGTTAAGACGTACGGTCTCGGTTCGAATCCCCTTAGTTCTCAAGATATAAGTAGGTAATTATGATGGTGAGATGTTGTATTAATCACTTTGAGATGTTGTATTAATCACTTAGAAGGATTAGTTAAGTACTCATTAAAATATACATAGTAGCATATATGCTTAATTTGTGTTGCGACAATATTTTCGAGTGTGCTTGTTTTGGTATTTTGGATAGCATTTTTGAAAAAATAAAAGTTTAGTCTTAATAACAAGGTAGGATTTGAAAATTAACAAAAACACTCATCTATGTTTGTTAATTTACTAAACACCCTTGTAATAAAAATATTAAAAATTACAAAAACACCCCCACCCACCCATTAAATACCAGTAGTCGGCCACCGGTGCCAGAGGGTGGCCGGAGTCCCCGCATTGACGCAAGACCTGTTAGATCTGCTCGGTCGTGCACCAAGATGACATTTTTCAGCTAGATCCACTGTGGATATGATCGGAAAAGGTCATATCTACTGCTAGATCTGGCCATTGACGGCCAGATTTGGCTGCATTTGGTCGTCAACGACGGCCAATACTAGCTACGACCAAAGATATGTCATAGATCTGGCATTTTCCGGCCAGATCCACGGTGGATCTGGCTGGAAAATGATATATTGGTGCACTACTGGTCAGATCCAGCCGATAGTACGCTATTAAACCAGATTTAGGCCACCTTCCGATGGTGGTGGTCCGAATCTGGCAAATATGGGTGGGTGGGGGTGTTTTTGTTAATTTTTAAATTTTTTGGGGGTATTTAGTTAAATTAATAAACTTAAGGGGTTTAAAAGGAATTAAATAAAACATAATAGTATTTTCAGAATAGGAAAACAAATATGTATTTTGGAAATGATAGAAATAGGATAGGGGGAAAAATACGAAAACCTAAAATATTTTAAGCTTTGCAATTGTAGCCGGTCGAACAATTTTCTGTAACTTGAAATTTTCTAAATTTCATTGTTAATGGCTGACTGTTGCAAAGAGTTATCTTCGTAGATAGTGCAATAATGAGTGGAGGTACCGCGTGAATTATTTTAGGTGGAACGACACCTTTCCACCCAAGGTATGGTGAAACCAAACTTTCAAAATAACACAATTTGTTAGGCTTTGTCACGTTTTCGTTAATACTTCACTGGAAAGGCAAAAATATTTTTAAATATTTGATTTCATAAACTTTTTATTATTTTTTAATTAGTCAAAAAGTTAAAAAAGAAAAAATAGTTAGCATCATTTAAAAAGTTAAAAGTAATGTTATAAAATTGTTTAAAGTTAAATGACTTTAATATTTATTTAATTATTATGTCATCAATATCTCATCACTATTATTCAATAATCTACTAAATTTATAATATTTTTCATAATATAATGTTTTTTATTTTTACTAATTAATATAAAAAATCAATAATCATAATTAATCAAATAAACAAAGGAAAAAAAAATATTTAACTTGAACTAATAAATAATCGAGTAAAAACTTAACTAAATTTTAATTTATAATAAACTAATTAAGAAATAAACTATTTAAATGTATTTTCGTCTTTTCAATCAAATATTGACAGAAAATACTAATAAAACCTCGTAAAGGATGAGAAAGTGTCATTTTAAAACTTGACGGATGGTAAAGCGTAATTTCGCCAAACCTTGGTAGGAACCATTTAACGCTGACTATTTTGAACGAAGAAACAGCTAATTTCCTGTGGTGGCAGAATAACATTACGACATTGTTTTAAACCAAAAAGTTATTATAAGAATTAAGTTATAATTAAATAATAAATTTGTTGAACTAAAATGTCACATTTTAACATTTTCTAATTTACATAGTTGATATCTACTACATATTTATAGGCTTCTTACAATTCAATAATACATCTAATATGGTATCAAAGCTTGATCTAATTGTTGTCTAATATGATATTCTCAACATTCCATTGCTCCATTATTTATTTAACTACTTAATTTTTTTGCTATCAACATATTCCGCATAGTTAATTAAGATTATTTATTGTAATTTTATTCTCTTGTAATTTTTACCCTGAAGATGCGCGAGAAAACTTTCCTAAGTCAAGTCCAGCGTGCACTTTAAGCTTAAAGCTATGAGATTTCTTAACCCACTTGCAATTCTCCGAATCAACCAAATCCATTCCTATCTGCTCCTTTCTTTCTCTTATGTTCTGTTCTCTACCTACTTCATTACACCCACACCCCTAATCTTCTTCTAAATAATCTACCCTCATAAATTCAATTAAAAAACTGATGGATTAAAATAAAATCAACAACAACAACAACAGCCACGACTAATTACATTTTATATATAATTAGTATGATAATCCCACATGAAATATGACTTTTTCCTATATATTCCAAACTCCAATCTCAAAAGTCCTCTTTCTTTTCTTTGATCTTTCTTCTCCTCCGCCTCTTTTCTTCGACTTCTTTAATTGGAAGAAATATATAACATATTCATATTACATATGAAAGTATAAAAAGTCTTATCGTTATTAGGTACCAAGCCGTATAAAACTAACGTCCCCGTATATATTATATCTATTACCAATACCATCTTAACTCGAATCGCCGACAAAGCAACCGTGTGAATTGACTTTCTCTAACCTTTCCCACTCCGTTATAATTTCCTATATAGACCCTTAAACTTTCCATTCTTCATACGCCTTCTCTATTTCTTCTTCTTCACCTTCTTAATTCTCTATTTCTGTAGCTCTTATTTATTTAATTTTTTGTTTAATTATGTCTGACAAACAAGCTCACTTGAATGGAGCCTATTACGGCCCATCAATTCCGCCTACCAAACAGTACCACCGCCCGGGCCGCGGCTCTGGTTGCGGCTGCGGCTGCTGCCTCTTGAGCCTCTTGTTCAAACTCATTATTACCGTCGTCTTCATCGTCGGCCTTGCAGCCTTGATCATCTGGCTCATCTTTCGCCCCATTAACCCCATAAAGTTCCACGTCACTGACGTCTCTCTAACCGAGTTCAACCTCACCTCAAACAACAACCTCCAATACAAACTTGCAGTGAACATCACCATTCGGAACCCGAATAAAAAGATCGGTGTATACTACGATCGTATCGAGGCCAGGGCTTATTACGAAGGGCAGAGGTTGGATTCGAATGAGTTGACTCCATTCTATCAAGGCCACAAGAATACCAGTGTTATAAGTACAGTTTTTGAAGGTCAGCAGCTGTTGCTCGGTGAAGATCTTCAAGACTTTAACAAAGAGAAGCCGACGGGGATTTACAGCATTGATGTAAAGCTTTACTTGAAGATTAGATTCAAGTTGAGCAAGTTCGTCAAGACTCCCAAGTTTAAGCCCAAAATCAAGTGTGATTTGAAGGTTCCTATGAGTAATTCTAATGATACGGCTCCTGCTGGTTATAAAGCTACAAAATGCGACTTGGATTTCTGATGATCGGAGTGCCGATGTTGTTGTTGATGATGTTTGATTGAGTCTTCAGTATTATTTCTTTTTTCTGGGTTTATTATTCATTTGTTATTTAGCGTATAGATCATGGTCGATATTCACTTTATTTTTGTTCTACTCGTTCTATTTAGATGATGTTAAATTTGTTACGTTTCCTCCTGTGAATAAATAATAGATTTATATTATATTTATATTATTTCGTTATTTGAATATTTGTGATGATTTATTAATATAAATAAGACGTTAGACTTTTGGGATGGGCAATTGCGAAGCCAACCACCTCTCCTGACGTTTCTCCTTACATATTTTAAAAAATTATGTCTCCCGAATTATATATATATACCCCAAGTGTTAGCTTCACTGTTAAAAAAATTTATTTTCCTTATTGACATTCTGTGTTTAAATATGGTGTCATCCATCACTTTTATAATTTATTTTAAAATATTAAGTTTGTAGTGTATTCGATAGGTATTAAAAATTAATTGATGTATGTGTAAATTAGCTCGAGTACTCCGATTATAAAAAAAAATTATAAAAATTGATATTTTTGAATATAATAGAACACAAGTTTTGGTCTCATCTGTGTCCTCTGACATTCAACCATATCATTGTAACAATCAACTACATCAAAATTGTGCAATTTAAGTTTATATATCTGGTGGCATTCTCATTAGCAATTTAAGAAACTGGATATTAATTGATTTGTTTAAAACGATAAATTTCAAGAATATATGACCTCCTTGTCATGTTCATTAAACGATTTCATATTATTAAATAATAATTATTTAAAAAAATATTAATTGTTTTTATAAAATTAAACTATATGTACTTATAATTACAAAATATTTGTTTATATATATTAACTGTGAATATGGGTAATGAAAATGAAAGATACATTTGTCATTTAGGCAATTTATTACACTTTAATCGTTACTAAACAGCCTAGAATTATTAAGGAGGTAGCTGAGATTATTTCAATTTCAAAACAGCCTAGAAATATTTTTGCGGTTTTTCGGTCCAATAAATTTCAAGAAATCTCAGGGAAGAAGATGTATCTCCCCATTAGCGGTCCACTGTTGTATAAAATGATTCGTTTGACCAGGTGATAAGTCAAACATATGGGCCATTCAGTTTTGGTTTTTCTAATAGTGTCGACGAATATTTTTTAATGAATAAGAATGAGATATTTATAATATATGTTTTTGTAATTTTTTAATATTAGATTATAAATATTTAGTTTTTGTATTTTACAAATTATAAATATCTAAAAATTAGTATTTTTATATAAATATTCTTGTGGATGTTAAGTGTAATTATATTTATAGTTTGTAGTACAAATCATGGATTTCATAAAATACAAAAAATATTTTAACTTTGCTAAAATAAACATTTTAATTTTTTTTAGCTTACGAAATCAATTTTAGATAAAATTAATTATGAGAACAATATAGAGTTGTGAAATTCATTAAAAATAAAAATTTATAGAAATAACAATAAGTATTAAGTACATTATTTTGATATATATAAAGTTATGGGAGATAATATAATAATAAAATTATCTAAGAAAAAATATGACTTATGTAAAACAAGAAAGTAAATAAATTTTGCTATTATAGAATAATGTTTTAAAGGGTATGATTGAAATTTTAAAAATTTGAAAATAGATATTTTTTTGGAAAAATCATTTAAACCGAATAAATAATTCTTTAATCATAAGTTAAAAGGAAAGGCTTTTTTTTTCCATTAAATGAAATATTATTTTTGGTCAGTTTTAAATGGTAAAATCAAACAATCAATAAATATTTAAAATAAAATAATCCTTTTTTAACAAGAGTAAATTATAGTAAGAGCACCTAACAAAATAACAGAGTGAATGAATCGACTCCTCAATATCTAAATTCAGTGTTTGAAGCCAACTGGCCTTAAGCCAGAGCTGGTTCTAGCAGTTATATATATATCATCCTTATCTTTGCGAGTTTGTGTGAAATTTCTATGGCGTTGAAATTATGGAGCAGGGTGGTGGTGGTGGTGTGCATTTTGTTGATCACATATAATGTTCTAGCAGCAGCAGGCAAAAATAGCAACTTATCTCACGAAAAGCAGAGGGAATTCGATAACCACTTGAATCGCTTAAACAAGCCTCCTGTTAAATCCATTGAGGTTACGATATTTTCTCTCCTTTTTCATCGTGTTTTTTTTACTTTCTATTCTTTGCTTATTCATGAATGCATGAATAAAAATTATACATTCCAAATTTTCTATTATAAATGATGTCTCTTCTTACGTGATATTGAGGTGCCGTTATTCTTATTTTCACTTGAGGGCTCAGTGTCTTGAATGATCGTATTATCATAAGTACTTTCTCTAAGAGATCATACCTGAATTTCCAAATAACATATGCAATTACGAATGGTGTATTTCAGAGTCCAGATGGCGACATCATTGATTGTGTCAATATTGCACATCAACCTGCATTTGATCATCCTTCCATGAAAAACCATAAAATTCAGGTCAATTACCAGTCTCATTTACTTCCTTTCTTTAAATTACATTGATATATACATATTTATATGTATTTATCATGTTGTATAGATGAAACCAACTTATGATCCACAAGGTGATTTTGTTACCAACGAAGAGAAGGCAAAAGGAAAGTCAGAGCCGATTACCCAGTTATGGCACTTGAAGGGACGATGTCCAGAAGGTACAATTCCCATAAGAAGAACTAAAATGGATGATATTCTTAGAGCAGGCTCGATTGAAAATTTCGGAAAGAAGACACATGGATCCATCCCTCAATCGGGTTTAACTAAGTCTGTTAACGAAGTTGATAACAATGGCCACGAGGTGCGGCCTACTATTACTCCACCTCATTTATTCTTTCGGAAAAGGGAAACCCTCTTATATTTGATATAATAAATGCAGATATACAACAAAAATCTGATAAAAATCAATAAGGAATTTTTTTATTATTATTTTTCATGCTTAAGTTTATCTTTCTTCTTATTGTTTATTTTTTATTTTATTTTTTTCCATTAGTACTCAGTAGCTACTGTAAAAGGAGAAAAATATTATGGAGCAAGGGGAAGCATAAACGTTTGGAACCCAAAAGTCCAAGACCCTTCTGAATTTAGCCTGTCTCAAATCTGGTTAGTCGGAAGTTCAACAACAAATGTCACTACAATTGAAGTTGGTTGGCAGGTACTCTTCATAAATTATTCATTTGAAAAAAAAAACAAAATAAAAGGAAGACAAAAATTGAGTTCTTAATTATTTGCTATCTTCATTTTAAAGGTCTGCCCGGGACTTTATCTGGATTCAAACACTCGATTATTCATTTATTGGACTGTAAGTCTCTTTGTTATTGCCTCTAATTATTATTTTGTAATAAACACTTCTGCTATGAAGAGTTATGTGTTTCCTGGTTGAATAATTTTATTGTTATGTGGAAAATTACAACAGAAGGACTCGTACACCAATACGGGTTGCTACAATCTGTTTTGTGAAGGATTTGTTCAACTCAACAAGGACATAGCAATTGGTGCGACCCTCGCCCCTGTTTCTCAAATTGGCGGTACTCCATATGAAATCAAAATATTCATTTGGAAGGCAAGTTTTGGTTTATGAGAAAAAGAAAAAGGGTTTTACAACATCTATTAAATTGAAAGTGGTAAAAGCATAAAATTCCGATTTAGAAAGTATCTTAAATAGGATAAGTGCACGACGTATTTAAGCATCATTCTATTACTAACTTGTTATTATGTGTATTAGGTTTTAAACCCGCTAATCATAATGGTTATTGTTATTTCATAACATTATCATAGTACTAGGAAGGTAATATTAACAGAGTTCATGTCACCTACCGGTAGATCACATTTTTTTCAAAATGTGGAATTCTTGTACTTATTAATAACTTTAACAAACGATTTATTACTGTCATCTAATACTAAAAAGACAAAATTTTATACAAAATCGTTTATATTAAACCTTGTGAAAATATGTTTATTTATGTTTGTTATCACTGATTAATAAATAACAATCTGGATTTCAAAATAAGAAGCAAGTCCACTAAAATATCTCGAATAGATGTTGTATAGGATCCAGTAGAAGGCAACTGGTGGCTGCGAGTAGGGGAATTTACAAATACAGTGGGTTACTGGCCAGGTGAACTAGTGCCGGACCTGGCTGATGGTGCTGCAACCGTTCAGTGGGGTGGAGAGATTGTAAACTTTGAGCCAAATTTTCAGCACACCACTACACAAATGGGCAGTGGTCGTTTCGCTGAAGAAGGTCCTGCAAAGGCTAGTTACATCAGGAATATGCAAATTATTGATGATTCCAACATTCCTAGACTTCCCAAAGATCTTAAAATTTCAACTTCAAAAGCAGGCTGTTATGATATCAAAAGTTTCGAAATTGCCAATAAGGAGAAGTACATTTTCTACGGCGGTCCTGGGAGAAACCCTAAGTGCCCCTGATAACATGTTGAAGAGATCATCTATGGTACGACAATGGTATCACATCACTCGAACCATCAATCAATACATTATTGCCACATAGATTTTTAAATTAATAACTATCAATCATATTAATGATAAAGATATGAGATAGAGAAAATATTTATGGGTGATGCAAATGCATTGGTAGGTGATACGAATGATGTGTTACCTCATAATATTCTAGATCTTTTCCATGTTTAAACGTACCAATGTTTTTTATTCAGAAGAAATTTGAAGTAAAGTGAACTCTTTTCTTGTAACTTGGAATTGTATATACTTAATAATGCAATCTATCGTATTCGTATTCTTAGTTGTATTAGAAAGTATAATTCGTTTTGACTATTTTTTTTTTCTTCCCTTAAAAAAATTAAATGTAGTTTAAAAGAATTTTAACTTTAAGCTTTAAGCCTAACAATGCTTTAAACTAGTTTTTCTCTTACATAATTATTGCCAATGAAGGTTGAGTTAATTATACCTATTTTTATCCAAGGTAACGAAATGTGTCAATATACATTACTTAAAATGTATTTGAAAGGTGCATGCCATATTTGATATTTTTTAATCAAATGATACTCAACAAGTTTTTTTAAAAAAAAATATGTATTGTACATAATTTGTATTATTAAAGTAATAATTTTAACATTTTTATATATGCTATAACATATACATTGATAACACTTTTAAAATGTTATAGAAAATAATTTTGTAACATTTCCAAAATGCAATGAATACCTATCTACAACATTTTTTAAAACTTTCGTAACACTTTTAATATATTATTAAGAACTTTTCTATAGCATTTTAACAATATTAAGAAAAATCAATATACAACATTGTAAAAATGTTATAGATTTGTTACATTTAAATAATGTTACAAAAAACTAAACTATAATAGATTAAGAATGTTATGAAAAACTTATTTATAACATTTATAGAGTGTAACCTAAAATCATTTGTAACTACGAATAGGTGTTATAATATAATAATAGCATTTTATTACACTTATTGAAAGTTCATTTATATCTATTAATAAATGCGACGAAATAATTAGTAATAACATGCAAATAGTGTTACCAATGTCTATTTTTAGTAACATGGGCTGTATCAGCATACTTATTGTGAAAAACTCATATTTGTCAAACTTATGAATTGTGTGTGCACATATGATCTGTGTACACACTAATTGCCAAACTTAAGACTTGGTTTGTTTCGTTTAGAGTGTGTGTGTGCACAATAGTTTGGGCTCTCACTCTTCCTTCAGATATTTGCAACCTAACAAGAGTTACATAACTGAAAAAGTGAAAAAGATATTATTTATCTTTGTCATTCACTTTTTAGGACATTTTTACATGTGTCATAACATCTTTAAGTGGTCCTAGGTAATAGAAATACTTTTCCCAATTTGCTTTGTGGTCCAAAACAAAAAGAAGGAAAATTTTCCCTATTTGGACAAAAATGTATCGACCCCTTGTTGGCTGACTTAACACTATATTATAGCAAAGAAATTCTTCATTATATAATACCTCTTCTTGCGTGTATGAATCTAACATTTTGACACTTTGTTTTCACTGTAATCTGATTCTCTTAGAGTATTTTTTTCTCTTAAGGTTTAAGGTTCATTTTCATATTTTATTCCAAAACCTCACCATATTAAACACGTTATTGATGGCTTTTGGAACATGGTTCATTTGCTGATGCTGGTGCGTGGCGTCGGTTGTTGAAGCTTGGTGGTTCACAAGCTACTCACGGGTGTGTTCCCGGTTGAAGAAGATCCAAAGAAGTTGCTACACATTAAGGATTTAGAGTGTGGTGCTAAGTGTAAAGTTGAACAGTGATTTTTTTTTACTGTAACTTAGATCAGTTTTGAACTATATTTTATAATGTGTTTTTAACTTAGTGGATTGCTTCAATCTGGACAAAGTCCTATGGATGTAGACTAAAAGTAGATTTAGCCGAACCATATATATGATTGTGTTCTTTATTTTTTACACTTGTGTTTGATGTGTTCAACTTGGAAATGTTTAATCTATTTAGTAAATATTTCGCGACACTTAAAATGGGTAACTACACTCTCTAACGTGAGTTAAATCTCCAACTCTCTCCCCAACACTTATAAATGCTACCGTTTACTTACAGTAACACTTTTTGCATGTTACCGTAGGTCATTTTTGCATCTTAAATATCTTAAATAACATATATATTTAAGATATTAATTTAATTATGTTGCAAATTTCATATTAATTAAGTATAGGCATATCCATCAAAATTGTAGCAAAATCTTCAATTAAGTTGTAAAAGATTATTATTTTCTAAAAATGAATATTGTTAATTCAATTACATAAATATATAATAGTTTCAAAAGAGTAATAATACACTTACACATATTAATAAGCTCTTTGAATAAACTATTGTATAATATCTTATATACATTGTTATATTATTGTCATATCATTAATCCTTATTAAACAGTTTAATTTTATGCTCGTCAATTCCGTTTATCGGGTTTTACATTTATTAGTATTCAAGAGTTTATATCAAGTATATGCAAGAGTTTATAAATAAACTCTTGTATACTAATAATAAATAATAATAATAAATTCATTATTTATTCACATACAAAAACAGTCATACTCATGAACATGGAATCGAGCAATCGCTCAAATGAAATATACATAAATAATGTGTTTATCTATAAAATAATAATGTGTATGCTAAAAAACAAAAGAATAATAAAAACCAAAAACAATGAAAAATCCATAAACAATATCCCCTCTAGTCATAATCAGAAATCAACCTCGCATTTCGTAGCTGTAAAATTAGAAGTCGAGTCCCCAGAACTCAAAGGAACCTTCAACTCACACTTGATAACCGGCTTCAACTTTGGCGTCTTGATCTTCCCCAACTTGAATCTAATCTTCAAGTAAAGTTTCACATCAACGCTGTAAATTCCAGAAGTCTTTTCCTGGTTAAAATCCTGATGGTTGTTTAGTGAGATGAAACTGCCAAATGCAGTTTCTCTCTAACCGCTGCCATATAAAAGGAAAACTTTTTCCTTTTAGAAATGGTTTTTTACGAACACTGTTACTCTAAAAACGCAAGAAAAATAAACGCTCTCTCTCTCTAGAATTTGGAAAACAGGAAAACGATTTGTGGTTTTTCTTCCAAATTACTTTGTTGCTTCAGAGATAAGGAAATGAGGTATTTATGCTGTGTAAATTCATTGTAGTTCATTTATATACAAATGTGATTGCAATGTTGACTATGATCTTGGGATTATGTTAGGATATATGTTATTCTATTTAATTTCCAACATCAATTCAATCCCGTTTGTTAATGCTGAATCAAGGAATTTTGCCCATCCCTATTATATAGTATGTCCATTTCCAGAATTTTTTTTTTAAAATGTTTATTATTTGTTATCTAATCACTATTTTATTGGGTCAATTATGTCCAATTAAGGGCATTATGGCCTCTACACAAAAGATGTATTTTTTTTCAGATGCCAAAATCCATTAATGTCTCTTAAACTTAAGGAATAATTCTTAAATTTTAAAGGAATGATTCCTGCACAGGACTGGGTGTAATAAAAGTAGAAGAAAACCACATGCATGCTGGTCTTTCCCCCAAGATGTGAAGAAGAGTCAGGTAAGATTTATGAACAGTTTTATTTATATTGCTATTTTATCCCATTATGGAAAATGAAATATAAAATATCTACTCAAAAATAATAATAAATTCATTATTTATTCACATACAAAAACAGTCATACTCATGAACATGGAATCGAGCAATAGCTCAAATTAAATATACATAAATAATGTNGGGTGATACGAATGATGTGTTACCTCATAATATTCTAGATCTTTTCCATGTTTAAACGTACCAGTGTTTTTTATTCAGAAGAAATTTGAAGTAAAGTGAACTCTTTTCTTGTAACTTGGAATTGTATATACTTAATAATGCAATCTATCGTATTCGTATTCTTAGTTGTATTAGAAAGTATAATTTGTTTTGACTATTTTTTTTTCTTCCCTTAAAAAAATTAAATGTAGTTTAAGAATTTTAACTTTAAGCTTTATGCCTAACAATGCTTTAAACTAGTTTTTCTCTTACATAATTATTGCTAATGAAGGTTGAGTTACTTATACCTATTTTTATCCAAGGTAACGAAATGTGTCAATATACATTACTTAAAATGTATTTGACAGGTGCATGCCATATTTGATATTTTTTAATCAAATGATACTCAACAAGTTTTTAAAAAAAAATATGTATTGTTCATAATTTGTATTATTAAAGTAATAATTGTAACATTTTTATATATGCTATAACATATACATTGATAACACTTTTAAAATATTATGGAAAATAATTTTGTAATATTTCCAAAATGCAATGAATACCTATCTACAGCATTTTTTAAAACTTTGGTAGCACTTTTAATATATTATTAAGAACTTTTCTATAGCATTTTAACAATGTTAAGAAAAATCAATATACAACATTATAAAAATGTTATAGATTTGTTACATTTTAATAATGTTACAAAAAATTAAACTATAATAGGTTAAGAATGTTACGAAAAACTTATTTATAACATTTATACAATATAACCTAAAATCATTTATAACTACGAATAGGTGTTATAATATATTTAATAATAGCATTTTATTATACTTATTGAAAGTTCATTTATATCTATCAATAAATGCGACAAAATAATTAGTAATAACATGCAAATAGTGTTACCAGTGTCTATTTTTAGTAACATGGGTTATAACAGCATGCTTATTATGGAAAACTCATATTTGTCAAACTTATGAATTGTGTGTGCACATATGATCTGTGTACACACTAATTGACAAACTTGAGACTTGGCTTGTTTCGTTTAGAGTATGTGTGTGCACAACAGTTTGGGCTCTCACTCTTGCTTCAGATATTTGCAACCCAACAAGAGTTGCATGACTGAAAAAGTAAAAAAGATATTATTTATCTTTGTCTCTCACTTTTTAGGACATTTTTACATGTGTCATAACATCCTTAAGTGGTCCTAGGTAATAGAAGTACTTTTCCCAATTTGCTTTGTAGTCCAAACCAAAAAGAAGGAAAAATTTTCCTATTTGGACAAAAATGTGTCAGCCCCTTGTTGGCTGACTTGACACTATATTGTTAAGCAAAAAATCCTTCATTATATAATACCTCTTCTTGCGTGTATGAATCTAACATTTTGACACTTTGTTTTCACTGTACTCTGATTCTCTTAGAGTATTTTTCTCTCTTAAGGTTCAAGGTTCATTTCCATATTTTGTTCCAAAACCTCACCATATTAAACACGTTATTGATGGCTTTTGGAACATGGTTCATTTGCTGATGCTGGTGCGTGGCATCGGTTGTTGAAGCTTGGTGGTTCACAAGCTGCTCACGGTTGTGTTCTCGGTGTGAAGAAGATCCAAAGAAGTTGATACACGTTAAGGATTTAGAGTGTGGTGCTAAGTGTAAAGTTGAACAGTGAGTTCTTTTTATTGTAACTTAGATCAGCTTTGAACTATATTTTATAATGTGTTTTTAACTTAGTGGATTGCTTCAATCTGGACAAAGTCCTATGGATGTAGACTAAAAGTAGATTTAGTAGAACCGTGTATATAATTGTGTTCTTTATTTTCTACACTTGTGTTTGATGTATTCAAATTGGAAATGTTTAATCTACTTGGTAAATATTTCGTGGCACTTAAAATGGGTAACCATACTCTCTAATGTGAGTTAAATCTCCAACTCTCTCCCCAACAGTTATAACTGCTACCGTTTACTTATGGTAACATTTTTGCATGTTACCGTATGTCATTTTTGTTATAGTGATATAGAAGGCCAATTTCCAACAAATCCAACCTCTGGTCTTCATAATAAGCCCTCGCCTCGATACAATCATAGTGCACACTGATATGTTTATTTTGATTGCGAATGGTGATGTTGAAGACTATTGTTTGAGTTGAGGTTGAACTGGGTTATTAAGGCATCAGCAATATGGAACTTTAAGGGGTTAACAGGTCAAAAAATGAGGCAAATGATCAAGGCTACAAGGCCTATAATGAACAAAATGGTAACAATGATTACGAGCAAGAAGGTCAAGAAGTAGTAACCACAGTTGCGACCTAAGCCACGGCGGGCACGATAGTGATGTTTGTTTGGTGGTGGGAGTACTGTCGGACTGTAAAGGCCGTTCAAGTGGGGTTGATTTTCATACATCATTGAAACAAAGAAAGTAAAAAATAGTGAAGAAGAAACAAATTATGAGAGAATGCGTTAAGGAATGGAGGCTTTAGGGTTATATAAGTAAGTGATTATGGAGTACTGAGAAAGTCTAGAGAAGGTAATTGCAGGCTTAAGCTGTAGGAGAAGGTGTTAGGGCCAAAAATCGCCCTTAGCCCAAATAGGAAAACGGGCCTGATTGTGTGGAAGAGACCAGGCCCAATCTCTATGCAGACCCATTTGGTACAAGATACAGTGGGCCCAAACCATCCAAGCACAAGCCTCCTAATCCTGGTTCACTTCCTGGGTCCATGAGCGAATCCAGAAGCCCACGGCCCCCACATATCACTTTCCTATTCCTGATCAATCTCTTATTTGAGGTCACCTTCCTGTTTAGATCACTTTCCTATTCCTGATCAATCTCCTATTCGAGGTCACCTTCCTGTTCAGATCACTTTCCTATTTGAAGTTACTTTCCTGATTGGGATCACATTTCTATCCGGACACTGGTAAGACAGCTCACCACCGCCCTAACTCCTCTAGGGTTATATCAAAATCGCACTAGGACTCCTACTTCTACCAGGATTGGGAGACCAGCCGGTCACTATATAAACAGAGGCCAGCCCTCTCACAAGGGACATTACATTACACCTTCACACCTGAAGCTCCTACTTAAGAGCTTCACATCACTACCGTAGTCACAATCCCTGACTAGACTTCCGGTAATGTCTCTACTCCCAGCCCTCACTATATTAGCCTCTTTCAGCCTTGCTGACTTGAGTGTCGGAGTGCCCACGACAAACACCACCCCGATATTTTCCGTTTGCTTTACGCTTGTTTCTCTAAGTGTGCAGGTACAGCGGATCGCTAGTGGCCTCAACCTCACGGGATCAGATCCCCCTTCCGTACAATTAGATTTTTACGTCTACAATTTGGTGCCCACCATGGGACCTCTAGCAATCATTCGGCTCAATGAACCTTGCTACGTAGAGGAACTTTTCATGGCTGACAACTCCAACAACGCTAACCCCGGCCTTGAGGCCAAACTGAAGGCTCTGACCGCCCTCATGCAACAGAACTCGGACAAGGTAGCCACACTGGAAGCCGAGAACAATACAATCCAGACCGAAAACGCATCCATCAGGGCAGAAAACCAGTCTCTTAAAAAGAATGTGAGTCAATTCTATGATCTAGAGTTTATGCCTGGCCAAGTACCTCCTAATCGATTCCGCAGCCCTGTTCCATCCATGCAACCTCTTCACACACCAGAGCACCGACCCTCGGTCTCTGGCAAAAGGCCACGTCCGTTAAGCTCATCAGCGGTCGACGATTCTATCATGACACATGGAGATAAAGATACGCCAGCAGAACGCCTTTCAACCAACCCATCCCAACCTCGAGGTCAAGACGATCCAGCCACAGACAACCCATACCTGCAAACTAGCCCATTCCTACCGTCCCACTTCAACTCCAATCAACCACCCTAACACAAACCCCATTCGGCTCGGCTCGGCTCACCCTCACGGGTTGAACGGTCAAACCAAACAAACCACAGCACTCGAGCCTATCCTTCCTGACGGACCGAGTGACTATCAGACTACTCCCTTGACCATTCGTGTGGGGCGAAACACCAGAACAGTTATCATGGGAGTCATCCAACCGGAAGGAATGAACGAAGATCCATGCTACCAGGGAATACACGAAAGAACGACTCATCAGACTACCCCGTGAGGGATGACCCAACGGAATGTGCTGAGGACGAATGCAATGGCAAACCCAGTCAGGCAGGATAACCTAGTAGTATCCCCCTCTCCTATGGAACAAGTACTGGCTAAGAGGCTGGCCGACGTGGAGGCAGTGATGAGACGCATCCTGGGAATGCCGGTCCCAACCAAGAAGAGCAGGCCCCACTATTACGCGGATTCACCCTTTGTGGATGAGATCGCCCTAACCGACATGCCCCAAAAGTTTACCATCCCCAACATGAAACTGCACGACGGCACAACCGACCCAGACGATCACATAGCCTCGTATAAGCAGCGGATGTTCACTGTCTCAATACCCCGACTGCTAAGGGAAGCCTGCATGTGCAAAAGTTTCAGTTCGAGCTTATCTGGCCTGACACTCCAGTGGTACAAGAATCTCCCGAACGGATCCATTGACTCATTCGCTCAGCTCACCACACCTTTGTGGAATAGTTCGCCAACAGTAAGAAACTCGAGAAGCTGTCGGTCGACCTATACAGAGTATACCAGAGAAGGGGAGAACCACTGAGATAGTATGTCAGTAGGTTCAACAAAGAGAAGATCTTCATTTCTGCATGTAATCCCGAGACAGCTGTGGACGCCTTCAAGAAGGGTCTCCTCCCGAACGGAGAACTATACAAAGAACTTACGAAGGTGGGTTGCACCACAATGGAAGATGCCCTGGCCCGGGCAGTGATCCAAATAAGATGGGAGGAAGATGAGATAAACCGAGAAGTTCACTTCAGATACGACTCGAGGCGGAATGATAGGAAGCCAGAGCACAGATCGGTGGAGCACCACTACCAACCCCCAACACGTAATACGAGCAGAGTTAGAAAACCATATGATCGCCAGCCTGCGAGAACCGCGAACAGACAGTTCGGATCGAACCGATACAAAATACCAGAGTACAACCTCAACTTCGAATCGACCCAGGTCGTCGCGATTATGAAAGGAATGGGATCCACCGTCAAGTGGCCGGGCAAGCTCAATCCCGAGGTAAGGAAAGACACGACCAAGTGGTGCGAGTTCCACGACGATCATGGGCACAACACCGCTGACTGCGTCGCCTTATGGCTAGAGGTCGTTGCACTTCTGAAGAAGGGACAACTCCGAGATCTGCTAACCGATAAGGGGAAGAATATCGTTAGCCAGAAAAGCTCAAAAGAACCATCACCACCTCCGCGGGAACCCACACCAAAAGGGTTCTGTTCGCTCATCTCCAGAGGATCAGAGATTAGTGGGGTAAGTTACTCATCAGCCAAGCGATATACCAAAGCCAACCATCACCATGAAGTCCAGTCCATTCATCCGGTCTCACGGTCACACATTCATCAGTTAATTCAATTTGAAGATGATGAGCCGGTCACCTTGGTCGTTCCTCATCATGATGCTCTAGTCGTCTCCCTGCAGATCGCCAACATCCTAGTGAAAAGATTATTCGTAGATTGAAGCTCTTCAGCAAACATCCTATTCCTCGAAGCAGTGAAGGCTATGGGACTGGAAGAAGCAAACATCAACAGGCGGCCGGCGCTGCTAGTTGGCTTCAACTCCGAATAGAAGTATACTATCGGGGAGATCATCCTCCCTATCTACGCTGGCGAAGTAAACAAATAGACTGTCTTTCAGGTAATCTTGGGCCGACCCTGGACCCACGACATGCGGGTAGTCCCATCTACCCTCCACCAGACGATCAGGTTTCCAACCAAGTGGGGCATACGAGAGATCAAGGGTGACCCCAAAACTTCCAGAGATTGCTACAAGAATGCCTTCAAAGGTAAGGGTAACTTTTCATAGCAATTACAGTCTCATCCAACCCATCCGACCGAGTAGGATCAATCATCTATGGAGGAGTTGGATGAAGTACAGATACATCCGAACAACCCCGAGAGAAAGACACACATAGGGTCTTGCCTCAAGCCCGAGACAAGAGACAAGAGACAAGTTGATAGAATTCCTCAAACAGAACTAAGACTGTTTCGCCTAGTCCCACGTCGACATGACCAGAGTCAGTCCAGAAGCAATGGTCCACCAGGTCAAGGTAGACCTAGATCACCCACCAGTAAAGCAAGAAAGACGAAAATTCGCACCAGAGCGTAACCGAATTGTCAATGAAGAGGTCGAGAAGCTACTGAGCAATGGTATGATCAGAGAGGTCTACTACCCCGAATGGCTGGCGAATGTCGTGGTCCTAAAGAAAAAGAACGGGAAGTGGAGAGTCTGCATCGATTTCATTAGGGGTGAGCACGAGTAGCGGGTAGAACCGGAACCGGGGGTAAGAACCGGAACCAGAACCGGAACCTACCCAGAACCTGCACTGTGCGGGTAGGTTCCGGTTCCAATTTTTTGGAACCGCTACTGTGCGGTTCCGGTTCCGGTTCCTTTTTTTGGGAACCTGTACTGTGCGGTTCCGGTTCCGGTTCCTCAGAAAAGTGCAGGGTACCCAGAACCGCTCACCCCTAGATTTCATGGACTTAAATAAAGCCTGCCCCAAGGACTCCTTCCCGCTCCTACATATCGACATGATGGTTGATGCGACCGTAGGTCACGAGCTCCTTAGTTTCATGGACGCTTTCTCAGGGTACAACCAGATCTTAATGCACCCGGACGACCAAGAGAAGACAACCTTCATCACGGAAAGGGGAACCTATTGCTATAAGGTGATGCCATTCGGTCTTAAGAACATCGGGGCCACCTACTAGCGGCTGGTCAACAAGATGTTCTCCGAGCACCTCGGAGACACCATGGAGGTATGCATTGACGACATGCTCGTCAAGTCCTTGATGGCCGAACAACACCTTGACCACATCACCCAGGCATTTGCCGTCCTCAGGAAGTACAACATGGAGCTAAATCCAGCCAAGTGCTCATTCGGTGTCTCATCAGGTAAATTCTTGGGCTATATGGTAACTCTGAGAGGGATAGAAGCCAACCCCGACCAGATCAGAGCAATCCTCAGTATACCGTCTCCGACTTGCGTCAAAGACGTCCAACACCTGGCAGGACGAGTTGCCGCCTTGAGCCGCTTCATCTCCAGATCGGCCGACAAATGCCATCTCTTTTTTCATGCTCTCAAGAAGTCCAAGAAGTTCGAGTGGACTGCCTTCTGCGAAGAAGCCCTACAACAGCTGAAAAGGTACCTGACCTCCCCTCCACTTCTTTCCAAACCTGTGGACGGGGAGAAGATCTACTCTTCCCTAGCGGTCTCAGAGACAGCCATCTCAGCAGTACTAGTTCGAGAAGAGGAAACGAAACAGTTACCGGTCTATTATGTAAGCAAGTCACTCCTCGACGTGGAAACACGGTACAGTCAGCTAGAGAAACTGGCCTTCGCCCTCATCCATGCATCTAGGAAGTTCAGACAATACTTTTAGTGCCACTCCATAGTTGTAATAACCTCCTTCCCACTCAAGAAGATACTGCACAAACTAGAGCTGTCAAGCCGACTCACGCAGTGGACAGTAAAGCTTAGTGAGTTCGACATATCCTACCAATCCCGCACCGCAGTCAAGTCCCAGGCGCTAGCAGACTTCATTGCTGACTTCACATCGAGCACCACCACCCAAGTAGAAAAAGAATTGTTTTGCATGAACGGCGAATCACCCTCCAAGTGGACTCTCCTAGTGGATGGCTCGAGTAACGTGAATAGAAGCAGACTCGAAATAGTATTGATTGCACCAGAGGGAGACATCATTCAGCGAGCAATCCGGTGTGGGTTCAAGTGCATGAACAACGAGGCCGAATATGAGGCCCTCATCGCCGAACTTTCTTTAGCTAGAGAAGTTGGAGCAAAGAGACTAGAGGTGAAGTTAGATTCCCAGCTCGTGGTCAATCAACTGCAAGGCATGTATCAAGCACGCGACTCGAAGATGACGTCCTACTTAAACATGTTCAAAGAGCTGCAGGCCCAATTCAAGAAGTTCTCTATCGTCCAGGTACCCAGAACGGAGAACTCTCAAGCTGATGCCCTTGCCAACCTTGGCTCAGCACTCAAATGTTCTTCCCAGTCATCCATCCCTCTATTATTCATGCAGTGGCCAGCCAATTGGAAGGAGCACCCATAAAACAAGTCGCCCGGGGAAGCCATGGGTGTTGAACTAGCCGATTGTTGGATGACCCCGATAGTGAGATACTTGGAACACGATGAACTCCTAGCTGACAAGAACGAGGCACGCCGACTGAAAGCAAGAGCTGCCAGATACACCATACATGAGGGCCAACTCCTTAGAAAGTCATTCTCGGGCCCCTATCGCAAGTGCACAAGCTCAGAGGAGTCCCAGAGTGTTCTCGCTGAACTTCATTAAGGCGAATGTGGAAACCATGCTGGGGGACGCAGCTTTGCGCACTGGGTGATCACTGCTGGATATTACTGGCCGACCATACGCACCGACTCGACCGCTTATGTGAAGAAGTGTGACAGTTGTCAGAGCTTTGCCCATGTCTCACACCTCCCACCAGAGCGACTTCACTCCATCCTCACACCCTGGCCTTTTATAAAGTGGGGGGCGGACATAGTGGGAAAACTACCGACTGCACCCGGGCAACAAGTCTACATGTTAGCAGTGACAGACTACTTTACCAAGTGGATAGAAGTCGAAGCCTTCGCACAAGTGAGAGACCGAGAAGTTAAAACTTTCATCTGGAAGAATGCCATCTGCTGGTTCGGAATACCGAAGGAGATCGTCACCGACAATGGATCCCAGTTCATCAGCTCGGGCTTCAGGGATTTCTGTGACATATGGGAATAAAACTGAGCTTCTCAACCCCCCGCAACCCCCAGTCTAACGGCTAGGCCAAGTCATCTAACAAGACCATCATTCAGACACTAAAGAAGTGGTTACAGAAGGCTAAGGGTGCATGGGCAGATGAGCTACTAGGAGTCCTTTGGTCATACCGAACCACAGTTTGCTCATCAAACGGCGAGACCCCCTTCTCCCTCACATATGATCCTAAAGCAGTTATCCCAGCCAAAGTATCAGTCCCGTCTACCAGACTCCAATAGGTGGATGAGGAATCAAACAACCAGAACCTTTTGCAAGAACTTGGACACCGTCGACAAGCTACGCGAACGGGCGAGCATTCGAAACGAAATCTATCAGCAATAGGCCACCCGACACGACAATCGCAACGTAAGGATCCAAACTTTCAAAGTAGGCGATTGGGTCCTCCGCAGGGTCTTCCAAAACACCAAGGAGATCAACTTTGGCAAACTCGGCCCCACTTGGGAAGGCTCCTACAAGATAACCAAAGAAGCAGTGAAAGGCGCTTACAAACTCCAAACCCCCGAGGGTAAAGACATCAGTAACAGTTGGAACACCGTTCACCTCAAACGCTACTACTTCTAGGTGAACTTGTCTTTTTTTTGTTTTTTATTTTTAAAAGGATGAGTGGGCCTATCCACCTCATCATAGACAGTCGGCCTCATGGCCAAACATTAATAAAGTATTATTCAGAAATTTTTCGTCTTCAAATCGACTCCGGTCGATCAATTGTTTGTAACACCTTTAGATCGGCCTTGCCCGATCCACGAAATTGCATCATCGAATCGACCTTGCTTGATTCACGGTAGCACCTTCAGATTGGCCCTGCCCGATCCACGAAATCACACCATCGAATCGACCCTGCTCGATTTACGGTAACACCTTCAGATCGGCCCTGCCCGATCCACGAAATCGCACCATCGAATCGACCCTACTCGATTCACGATAACACCTTCAGATTGGCCCTGCTCGATCCACGAACTTGCACAATCGAATCGGCCCTGTTCGATTCACGATAACACCTTCAGATCAGCTCTGCCCGATCCATGAACTTGCACAATCGAATCGACCCTGCTAGGTTCACGATAACACCTTCAGATCGGCCCTGTCCAACCCACGAACTTGCATAATCGAATCGGCCCTACTCGATTCACGATAACACCTTCAGATCGGCCTTGCTCGATCCACTTACTTGCACTTTGGAATCGACCCCACTCAGTTCACGAAAACACTTCGAATCGATCCCGCTTGGTTTACGGAATCACCTTCGATCGACCCTGCCCGACCTTTTTACACCTTCGGATTGACTTCATTCAATCCAGGAGACTATGTACTCGGTCGGCCAGACCGAGTGAATGGTTCTTACACCTTCAATAAAGCAAAGCACCAACCTAGCCCAACATAAGGCCTACATGCCTTAGCCACTGGGCCACACTAAAGTAACAAACACAACATAGTGCATCTACAAGTAAAGAGGGAATGAACAACTCACTTATCCATGAAGATAGTATCAAAATTTAAAACAACCAAGTATAATACGAACAGCATCACACGGCTCAGTTCAGGGTACAAAAAAGGCCTCAAACGGCTCAGTTCAGAATACAAAAAGGCACACACGCCAAGGAAGAGGGCATCGCAGGCCCCAAAATGCATAAACAAATGGAAAACCAAGCTAAGTATCCTCAGTTCGAG